TAGAAATTGATTATTATAATTAGTTTTTTAACTTTTTATAAAAAGAAAGAAAATAAAAATAATAATATTAATGAATTTTTTGCCATCAACCCAAGTCTCCGAACGGGTTAGCTTATAATCCCTGTATGAAGCCATATACAAGTGCATATACATCAAAAAAATGATCCAATTATAAAGTAGTTCTATGCCAAAGTGTTCTAGGTCTCAAGTTGATTATTAATGAGATTGGTAAGGTACAGTCCATTAGATCATCTAAAAATGCTTGAAGAGTTCCCCTAGATCTATTTCATATCATATACAAAAATACTAGCCAACTTGTTTTGAATTTACCTTTTTTAATTTGATTTATTTTCGTTTTAATAAACTTTTTGAAGAATTAACTCAAACTTTTTTATTTTCTAGATTCATTTCGATTAGATGATTCTAAAAAAATAATAATAATACTTAAATTCGAACTATATAAAAATAAATTTTTTTTAAAATTTTTTTTTAAAATGGGCTTTTTTTCCTACTTAGCAAAATTTCAAAATTGACTCAATTTAAAAATTTTTAGAATTGTCTAGTTGAGACGAACTTTGACTCAAAATTGAAAAAAGTTTAGAAAAACAAAAAAGAAAAAAAAGCTAGCTTTTATAAGTTTTTGCCAAATTATAGTTACGGTTAAATATGAAATTTTGCCAAAATGACTCAATAACCCAAAAAGGAGTAAACAAACAAAACTCTGTATGTGTACATGAGTGGTGGAGAAAATTGGAGACATCAACTTGTTTGAACACTTGTTCTTTGAAATTAGCATTAGATAGAGAACATTCTTTACTACCAGAAAACAACTGAGCAAATCATTTATCTTTCTTGTTCAATGTCCATATAGTACTCATCTATCCAGTTCTGAATGATCTCCACTTCTTTCCTCCTCTGCTGAATAAGCCATTCTGGATCTTCTTTTGTTGCAGACCGAAAATCGACATGGTGTGCCCCTATTTAGAGATGGATTAGTGGACAGTCAGTAAACTTTTCAACATAACAAGTGGGAAATGGGTAAAATGATGAATAGATGAAAAGGCTCTCACCTTTCTCAGTCACCAATGCTATAATGGTAGCCGATATGTTTTTCAGCACACTGAGTACATAACTCAAATTTTTCGAATTAGTTGGATACAATACATGTAGATCAATTATAAGCATCAATACTTAAAATAGTTGACATTAGGAGGGTAAGGCTGCTGAATCATTTCTATTCTAGGAGGATGAGAAAAGCTCGATAAGAGACCGCAAACGACATGTAAAGAAATACTTAAAAGAGGCAGCTCTATATACGAGGTTCCTGTCACTGCGATGTCTAGGAAAAGTCAGATATATTACCCAGATCTATGCTACTTGGAATGACAATTTTTCATATTCAATCACAAAGTAGATTGATGCAATCCAATAAATGAAGTGATAATCAAATAAACCAGTTTAAGGAGCTTTGATATATACTGTATAGCATTGCCATGAGCTCAAGCTCACACAAGCTTCAACTCGTAATGGATTGATGGGAACAATCAAGATTCTGGAGTCAATATAAATACGATAATAATAAAAAATAATCAAAATATGATGTTGAACCAACCTGCCTCTACTCCAAGGGTCTTGCATTCCATTAGAAAATATGATGTTGCTACCTGATCTCTTGAGCACTAGCTCAATTCTCTGCATATGTAAGAAACAGTGAGCAAAGAGATGAATTTATGGAAAAACCCGTGTTCAAAACAGACTATTGTTTACTTCAATCTTTGCAGCAACCACAAGGAGAAAGATAAGACATTAAGAAAGGAGATGAAAAAGAAAAAGCAAAACTTTGTATTAAAACTTACACTGCCACCATATTCAGTAGTGATCCAGTGTGGTCGAGGCATAACTCCGTATTTCTCCTTGCAATTGTCTGCAAACTCCTTGTAATTGAAGGAAGATGGAGAAAACATGCTTTCATTGGAACAAGTCATTGGCATTACCATCTCCGTACATGCCTGGAAAAACCATTAGCAAGAAAGTATATTGTTAGTAAAAATGATTTAGTATAAGTAGTACAAGAGTAGAGAATGTAGGTAACATTTATAGAATTGTGGGTTGTTCTGAATACTGGTTTGCATATTCAACATGTGTAGAAAAGCTACAAATCATTAAAATATTGGAGTTTGAACATGAATTTAGGATGATGTTTTCTTACCAATCCTATTCCCATACTGAAGTTTGAACATGAATTTTACTTACAAAATCAGATTAATCGGTTAAACAAGTCCAAGTTTGGATTATCTCTGAATTCAAATTGAGTTGGTTTTGAACAATAGTCTGCATTCAGAACTTGCATATCCAAATTGGGTTCAGGTTAGATATATTTTACCTAATTGAGGCACAATGCAAAAGGGGGTGCCGAGTGGTGGGAGGTAATCAGCTTAACAATACTGATAGTTTGTATTGCAATAAATAGAACACAATTTCTATACCTGCCAGTCCCAACCATGGAGGCCATGAACATCAGTCCCATTTTCTAATTCAAAACATTTTTGTGTCTGCGAATAGTTGTAATATAAGCTTGCAGCTGCAAAAACTTTGCTAAGCTTGGTAGCTCCAGGTGAAAATCCATCAATAATCTTGCACATCTTCAGTCAAAAACAGAAAAAGGGTTATTGGAAGATATTTGAAACTAAAAAAGGGCAGTCTGAATGCAAGAGACTCACACCACTGTAACGTCTAGGGAGGGTCAAATGCACAGAGTCTTATTTGAAACTAAATTTTTAGAATCTCAAATTCATGTGGGTTAATGCATGTAAAAATCGTACCGCTTGCACAGGGTAAGCAGGTAATGGCATCATGAAATTGGCTTTTGTTGGGTAATTCACCATGGCTGTGTAAACAAAAGCTGTCCATAACCAGTTTCTAACTGAATACATTGACTGAAGATTCCTGAAATTGGAGGAAATTATCTTGAGAGAACAAAAGGTAGAAGAAAGCGATGAATAAAAATCAGAATCCAAAGTTCAAACATTCCCTCCTTAAACATGTGACCCAACTAATAGCTATCAATTTTTAATGTTTTTATTTAGGGAACATGCTTTGAACCTAAACACAATAAAATACACATTTTCACTTTATTTGCTAGTAAAAGTTGTGAGAAAGAAAGCATTTTCTTTTCCACTAAAACTCAAAAGGCAACTTGAAACTAGTAAAGAATGATCGAGCATCTTCAAGAATATCTTCAACCAAAGTGGTATGACCCACCTTTGCAACTCAAAGCTTTTAGGTTTGGTTGAAGATGCTTATATGTGAGTTTGCAACTTGAGGCCTTTTGAGTTTGACCCTAAGTTGAGTTGATGGACAACTAAGACAATTTAAAAAAGCCTAAGTGCAAGGGACAATTAAGATTATTGAAGACTCCAAATGGTGCATCAGAAGGAAAAATCACAATAAAACTCCTAAGATGTTCATCTATTTTCTTCCCTTTTCTTTTCCAATTTTCCTTTTCTATTTAGTCACTGAACTCACTTGCAAGTTCTGAAAGTTCTGCTGAGTTCAGCCAACCCTTCTTTTTGAGCTGACAGAGCTTCCAGTTCTTGCCAGCTCCCCTTTATCACCTCATAGCAATTCACACTTGCATCCTGCAAATGAGCTTAATAATCAAAATTAATGGAAAAACAGAAAGAGTAGTTGGGGGGAGAGAGAGAGAGAGAGAGTTACTTTAGCCCTTTTTCATACAGACCTTGTAATCCTTGGAAACAGCATCATAGAAGCTAGACCAGGGGATTATATCATCAAACTGCAAGATTGGGGCTGAAGATGCTAAAGCTCCAATTGCTATATGTGGGTATTTCAGTCTAAACCAGGCAGCCAACACTGAGAGAGAGAGAGAGAGAGAGAGAGAGAGAGAGGCATGCTACGGGGGGAGAGTACTATCATTATGAACATAGGATAAAGCAAAAGTACCAACTGGGTCATTAAAAGCTCCATTGAGAAAACAATATAGGGCATTAATGGCTGTTCCATAAATGCAAATCATCCTTGAAATCAATGAAACTAGTGCAAGAAAATTCCATATTAATGGCAGGTATAAACAGTCAAACAAACCTAAATTGATTGATTCACAAAGCACAAGAGATTCCCCTCTTACAGATCCACTCTCATGTCAGACCAAATCATCTGATAAAATCAAAACCTAGTAGAGGGACTCATTTTTAACTTACTTCCTCCATAAGACCCACCAAAGACCACAACAGGGGATTCCTCAGAAGAATGATTCTTCTTCAAACTCCTAATCAAAACTGCAAAATCAGCCAATGCTTGCCGTGAATTTAAGTACCCCAATGTCTTTGCAGAATTGTAGGAGTCCTTCCCAAACGGCATTGATTCTCCGTAAAACCTATGCTGAAAAATCACAAAAATCACACAATTCAAACCCAGAAAAAAAGCAATCTCAGGAACCCTTCTTCAAAACTCAGTCACAGAGATTGTTTTCATAAATACCCAATTAATAAGATCTTAAAAACCCATCAAAATTTAAGTCTACTTGTACTTGTAGTACCACTATGTAGTGCTTCTAAGAGTCGAGAAAACAACCACAGAAGGGAGTGTGTGTTCAAAGGGTCAAGAATCTGTGTCCCCAAATTCCTCTCTTCTGTCTAAAAATGCTTGCTGATATTGAATTATGTAAGAATCTCAAGACATAATCGAACAAGGAAAGCGAAATGAGAGAATAAACCATTTTGTGCTTGTTCTGAAAAAATCACACAATACAAACAAAACCCAGAAGCAATCTCAGCAACCCTTCTTCAAAACTCAATCACAGAGATTGATTTCATGAATACCCAGATAATAATAAATACACTAAGATCTTTAAAACCCATCAGAATTAAGTCCAAGGATCAACGATCTCTGTCCCCAAATTCTTCTATTATGAACAGGACAGTGAAATTTGAGAACAGAAGATCCCAAGCCTGTTTTGAGTGATACCCAGATAGTGAATTTGAATTATTGAAATGATGGGTAGTGAGTGTACTTCAATGAAGACTAGCAAAGCTTGGAACTTGGGAGCAATGTCGAGCATGAAGCCAGTATTGGCTGCGAACCACTCAATATTGCCTTCGTTGCCAGTGTAGACGAAGATGGGGCCTCCATGGTGCCAGTAATGGCTGTTGATGAGGTACTTTTGGTAGAAGATTTTAGAACTCTGGGGTCTGAATGTAAAATGGTCTAGGAGCTGAGGAAAGTAATAGGTCTCATATGGTATCTTTGGCTCTGAAACTAAGTCCTTTGCTTGTTTTTGTAGAGAAGATTGATATGTTGATCTTGGAAAGTATGTGGGTATTGATTGCATTGTTGCTGTTGTTGAAGATATGGTGAAGAGAAGAAGGAAGAGGAAGGTAGAAGATGAAGCCATTCTCTCTCTTCTCTTATCTTTCTATCTCTATATCTGTGTGATTTCAGGGTCTGTTTTGTACCAACTTTTTAAAGTTGGCTTTTTTTGTAATTTTCTGGTTGGCATTGAGTAGCCTGAGAGAGAGTATCTTCAACCATTTTTGGAGAAGCAACTATGGTCATCTTTGTTTACCTCCATAAATCATGTTTAGCTGGTAACAATCACATGACACACTTTGGATTGTGAGGTGAAAAAAAATTAAATAAATAAATTACAAAAATTTGTTTAAAATATAAATTATCTCTTTTCTGATTTTAGAATTAGATTTCATCCTTTTAAGTTTATAATCATATAACAAATGCTCTCTTTTATTAATAAATTATTAAATCAATTAATAATTTTTAATAATATTAAAAATATATTTCAATTAATAATTTAAATAATTTTATTATTGTATTGGAGAATAATTAAAAATTTGATTTTTTTTGTTAATTTTATTAATTTAAAATTTTTTACACGAGATTATTTGTAATTTTTCAAACTATATAAACAGTCAAAAGAAAAAAAAAATGGTATGAAAATATAAAAAATAAAAAACGTGATTTCTCACTTGTTATTATTATTATTTTTATAGATGGGAATCTCACTTATTTATTTGGATAGAGAATAAATGAAAGAAATTGGAATTGTTAGAGCATCTCCAACGGTGACTCAAATTTTTCACTAAATCTGAGTAAAAAATGACTCATTTCACCAAATTTGATACCACTCGCTCCAACGGTTCACCTTTTACCAAATCTATCTCGGGACAACCAGGTGGTCGACCGGCCGGTTGACCGGTTAGGCAAAATATTTTATTTTATTTTATTTTTTTCGCGAATTGTCTGAACTTTTTTTTGAACTTTCTGAACTTTTTTCGGGACGACCAGGGTGGTCGACCGGCTGGTTGACCGGTTAGGCAAATTTTTTTTTTTTTTAACGGTTTGAACTTTTTTTCCTGAACTGTTTGAATCTTTTACTGGTTGACCGGTTGGTCAACCAACCGGGCAACCGGCTGGTTGACCGGTGTACCTCTTTCAACGGTCAATAACAGTGATTTGGTAAAATCTGTGTCTCGTTCTCAGTTTGATGCTTTTTTTGCTGAAATCTCATTTTGATATCAATCTGGTGCAACGGTTGGAGCATAAAAAAGTGCATTTTTTCATCAAAATTTGAATCTGATATCAACTTTGATTCGCCGTTGGAGATGGCCTTAGTACATGATCAAATAGTTAAAAAACTATTTTGCCACACTTATAAAAACATCAAAATCAACTTTTTGTATAATATCCACCCAAAAAACTTTTTGTATAATGAGAATTTTTATGAAATTTCATAAATTTATTCTCAACTAACTAAGGCTTCGTTTGGGAAGCCATGATTTGGACTTTTTTGGCTATTTTAGTCACAAAAAACAAAATAGGCTATTTTAGCCATAACAAACAAAACATCACATCCAATCCATAATCATTACATTCTTCTCTCACAAAAAAACTCAAAAAAGCCAAAAAGCCCTTCCCAAACCAAGCTTTTAAGCCCAGGCTAAAATAGCCAAAAAAGCCAAAAAGCCAACCTACTTCCCAAACGGAGGCTAATAATAGTTTATTAATATACAAGCAAACATAATTTACATATCCATGATGAACGATTTAAAACTTTTTGAGTAAATTGCACTTGCCTCTTCTCAGGTTTGGAGAAAAAATAATTTGCTTTACACTTTTGGCGTAATCACATTGACATCTCTTCAAGTTTTCGTTTACATAATAATGAAGTTCTTTTTTATCAGTAATTCATTAGTCGAATAAATAAAAAAATTAATATTGTCATCCATTTTTAAATAAAACATATATTTATGTTTGTTTATTTTAATGTTTACCTATCTGTATTAGTTTTAGGGGCTTTAATCATATTAAAAAAGAGATTGATATCAGTATATCAAAAATATGAGATTAATTATACTTACTCCTAACCATAAAAGAGGTATGTATTATATACCCAAACTTTCTAAGCAAAATGAACTTACAAGCCAAACTGCAAACTTTGAAAACACATCAACGTTTTTTTAGTAATGCTTTAGGAAAAATTTTTAAAAAAAATTAAATATATGCTTTAATTGTATTGGGTTATTAGTTAAAAAAAAAAAACTATAACTCTATAGGTGTCGTTTGGAAAGTGAGTTGATTTTTTGGTTTTTTTTACTATTTTAACTTTGGTTAAAAAGTCTGATTTGGGAAGGACTTTTTGGATTTTTGACTTTTTTAGTTTTTTTGTGAAAAAAGAGTGTAATGATTATAAATTGAATGTAATGCTTTGTTTTTTGTGATTAAAGTAGTCTATTTTATCTTTTGTGTCTAAAATAATCAAAAAAATTCCAAATAACTCTTCCTAAACGGAGCCATAATTATCATTGTGAAAATATTCTTGTTGTAATTAAGTGCGGTATCATGGCTTGAGTTGGAGTAGGGAGAGAGGCTGGGCCAACAGAATTGCCGACAAAAGCAAAAAAAACAAAGACGTGAGAAAGGATAAGACTCTTCTAACAACTTTCCCACCTACCTTTTCAATTTGAATCCAATAACTTTGTGGGGTTTTTCTGTTTTCTGCCCCTCGGGCCCTCACCAGTAAGATGTAAACGATTCTGTTCAGTCATCGAATTAATTTTTTCAAATTTTGATAATTAAGAAACCGATATACTATGTGGGTGTTTAGAAAGTAGGTTTTTTTTTTTCTGTAGGTTTTTTTAGTTGTAAAATATTATTAGAATTTTTTTTTTTTTAATGATTAAGAAGATAGTTGAGTTTTTTTGTGGTTGGATGTGATGTTTTTTAGAGAAAAACTGAAATGATTACGGAGTTTGATATGATATTTTGTTTGAATTTATTTTTTTTGGCTTTGTAACCAATTTGTCTTTTAGTAAAAAAAAAAAAAAAACCAAAAAAAATCCTTCCCAAACAGCGCCATATGATTTGGTTTTATTGATTTTGTTAGTTTGACGTAGAAGAGAGATCTACTTGAATTTTAAGAGGGTTTTATAAAAATTTGTAGAATTTTATATTAAAAATAAATGAAGAAAGTGCGTGAAAATTACTCTATAAACATTTTTTCTCCTAATTTCTATAATAAAAGTGTATTATATTAGTCACTTATCATATAATATTCAAAGAATTAAAATATAAAAGTATTTAAATATAATATTCAATCGGTTCGGTTTATATCGGTATAAAAATTTTTAAAATCGAAACAGACCATATATTATGAAAAAAAAATCGAAAACTGAAATTTTTATTCAGTTCGATCGATCGATCAGTCCGGTTTCATTGATTTTTCTTACACCCTTACTCATTAGGGCATCTACAATGGTTTATCAAAAATTTCATCAAATCTGAGTAAAAATATGATTAATTCCTCTATTTGATATTAGCCACTCCAACAATGAACGACTGTAACTTTCATCAAAACACAAGATGTTTGGGAAAACGACCAGCCGGTCAACCGGTAAGAGAACTATGGATTTAATTCTACATTGGTTTAACCTTTTGCAAAACCATAAATACATAGAAGCCATGCCTTTGCCTCTCAGAACATTAAGCCTATCAATCATATCTGCAGCACCACACAAATTTTCAATACTTTAAAATCAATCTCAGATTAATGTACATAAATATATAAATGTGTGTGTCTGTTGTACCTTTCTAGTAGAGGCCATCTGGTGAAGAAAGAGGGACTTCGATGAAATGTGGATGTTTGAGCTGTCGATTTCTACAGAGATAGTAAACTATAGGAACTTTTTGGATTTGTTGATGCTTGGGAGACCTCTCAGTCGAAACTTTTGCCCCCTCCGGACTCACTTGCCAGAACTTCTTCACACGCCTCTCTATTTTCGAATAAAAGCCCTAACGCAATAATCTAAACTCAAATTGCCTTAATATCTCACAAAAACAATAATGAATGTGATTAAACTCCATGCACTTGGTCACATGAACAAATTCGAAGCTTCGGATAGATTGTCTTCAAAATCAAAGTATATTATATTTGAGAGAAAGCTCGAAGAGATTGAGGCTTGAAAAAGATTAGTTCTAGCAAAGATGAACCGTGAGAATTGCATAGAACATGTGATCGGTCAATGAAATAAGGAGTAAACAATTTTGTGGCTAAATTGTGGCTAATTTTGGTGCAAACCATGGCTGTCTCTGGGAATTTTTCAGTTAGCCGGACGACTGAGGTCCGACTTGTCATCCGATGGGTCCCACCCCCAACGTACATGCACAGTAAACTAGTGAAAGCTGGTCCAGGTCCTTAGTTTAGTGAAAAATTTAGATGTTCTCAATTTGATATAATTTTTGATAAAATCGTTGGAGATAAAAAAAAGTATACTTTTTTACCAAATTTAAATTTGATGATGAATTTGATTAAATATTGGAGATAGCCTTAGAGTCTAGAAAATGAACACCTACTGCTCAGATAGGCATGGTTCAGGGATATATCGGTACATATATTTGGAAGGGAAATTCTATTATTAGGGATGGTAAAATTATCCAATTCAATTGTATTTGTCTCAATTCGATTTGAATAAAAAATGTTTGAGAGAGTATTGATAAGATTTAGTAAATTATGGGAATATATATGTCAAAACTATGAGGATAAAGGCAAAATATAAAATTGTACCACAAAAATAATTGAGTTTAAAATCAAGAATTCATAAGCGAAACTCGGAAAACTTAACCCATTGTCATCCCTATCTATGATAAACATTTTCTATTGGGTGTGTATAATATGTCCCAATATGACATTTATGGTCTTTAGTAATAATTTATTGTGGTGTTAATTATGATTTGATTATATCTATTGTGATGTTAGTTATGACGATATTAGTTATAATATTATTTTGATTACAATTTAAAAAGTCTTTGATTATACCTTACGTTGTGTTTGATTACAACTTCTTTTTTTAATTATGACAAAAAAATAATTCAGTTACAACATTTGTGGTAATCAACTCCACAAATATCTTAATTTACATATGGTACATACTCCCAACAGAGTGCGTAAACAATATATATAGATTTTTTTTTTATTTTTTATTTTTTGTTGCTAAATTACACTTATCTTTCTTAAAATTTAAGAAAAATACAGTCAATTTCACTTTTTTGATATAGTTAGATTGATACTCCTTTTAGTAAGATTAAGAATATCAAAATTAATATAAATAATAAGTAGATACTGAAATAAATAAAAATAACAACAAATTACATCAAAAGCCTTTGTAATTTATCTCTAATGTCGATTTGGTTCATGTTATTTAAATTTGAACAAATTTGCCCTTTAATTTTGACTCCAGGGCACTTTGAGAAGAGATTAAAAAAGCCAATTTTTTGGCTTTTTAGCATTTTTAGCTAAAAAAGTCGTTAAAAAAGCCAAAAAGTAAAAAAATTAAGGCTCTGTTTGTTTGTGTTTTCAAAATATGATTTTACACTGTGTTTTCAGTATGGTGTTTAGAATGTGTTTTGGAAACACGTTTCTAAAACTCTGCAGAGTTCTCTGTAGCGGCCGCGCTTTTCAGAATTTTTTTTTTCAAAATTTGGCCTAACGGGACGCCCGGCCGGTCGTCCGGCCAGTTGACCGGAATAGTGAATTTTTTTTTTTTTTTGTGAAAAATAAATAAATGTTTAAAAGATTTATCAATTTTACATAATTTTATTTTTAGTAGGTAGAAATAATTTTTAAAAATTCAAAAATATTTGTTTGACATTTATTTTTGTCAAATTAATTTATATTTTATTCAATTGGCAATTTCACCCTTGAAAAATCTAATTATATATTCAATTGTACTTATTTGGAATAAGATTCAAAATTCAGAGTTAAATGTGTCACAATTGAAAAGTCAGGGACCAAAGTGACACAAGTCCCAAACTATAGAGACTATTTGTATAATTTACCCTATTTAGAAATTATCATTTTTTTTTCTTTTTTTCTTTTTTATGACCAAGCACACATCAAGTGATCCCAAAGTTTGAGATGGTTAACTTTCGTAAAATTCAACTTTGCGACATCTTACGGGACAAGCCTTTTGATTGCATCTCCTCCTATTAAGTACTCGTTTGGAATAAATTTTTTTAATTTAAGGTTTTGGCTATTTTAAACTTGTTTTGGAAAGTATGTTAAAATTTTATTTTTTGACATTTTTTAAAAAAGTGTGTAAAAAAAATAAAGAGATGATATGATTCAAAATAGATTAATAGTCAAATTGACTTTTAGCCAAATTCTCATAGGCCTATTTTGACAATTAGATTAAAAGTGAAAAAGTTGACTTTTTAATTTTGTTTTGGATCATATCACATTTTTACTTTTTTACATATTTAAAAAAAAAAAGAAAGTTATCTTGTAACCTATTTCCCAAAATAACATGACTAAAAAAGTTATGTCTAGATTGATTTTTAGTTTTTTTTAGTTGATTTGATAATTACGAGAGAAAAAAAAAATAATTATAATTTAAATATAATATTTTATTTTATTAATTATTTTAGTCATTTTTAACTTTGTTGACTATTTTAATTAAAAAATTGTGTCCCAAACAAACCAACCTCCTTAACCTCTGCTTGGCAACTTAGGTTTGGGTTTTTTTAGCTATTTTAGCAACAAAATATAAAATAGGCTATTTTAGCTACAAAAAATAAAATATCACATCAAACCCATAATTATTACAGTCTTCTCTTACAAAAAAAGTCAAAAAAGCCAAAAAAGTCAAAAAGCCCTTCCCAAACCAAGCTTTTTAGCCCAGGCTAAAAGGGTCATGCTATGTCGCTCGAAACTGAGCAACCCCTAATCCCGCGAAATTTTTCTTTATTTTTCAGCAGAAGGAAGAAGAAGACGGAGGGGGAGGGGGACTGCAGGGGGCTAAAAAATGGGCTGGAGGCGGAGGCGGGGGGCGCGGCGATCGGCGATGGCAGAGGCGACGAGCAGAGGCATGGCGATCGGCGACGGAGGCGGAGGTGCGGCGATCGGCGACGGTTCTGCGACGGATCGGAGACGACGGCGACTCGACCTCTCAAGCATTATTTCAGGCTAAAATAATTAAAAAAGTCAAAAAAATTAAAAAGCCAACCCACTTTCCAAACCAAGCTTAAATTTAAATCAAGGGCCAATGTGGAAAAATTTGACTCAAATTCACAGCTATTTATAGTCCAGTTAAATTCATAACGGAAGACAAGTAATTCCCTTATCAGAACCACTTTCTCCTAATCAAAATTTCAAAATGAGTTATGTTATAAATTATTTGAGACCTATAATATTTTTTTTTAAAAATCCGATTCAAAATCAAAATGACAAAAAAAAACTCCATATAAATTTCAAATCACACCATATCATCATCAATTGCTAAATGAAATATTTAATTCACATTTCACTTATAAATTTTCTTCCTCTTTTAAATCTTTACCTAAATTTATTATCCAAAGATAACTTGCTCTGCATCATTATCATGTTTAACAACGATAACGAAAAACATAGTGTTCATAGGATAAGTTTATGTATTATTTAGATTTGGTTTGGCATAATTAAAAAAAGTCAAAAAGTCACTATCTTATTTAAGTCATATCATCTCTTTACCACATTACTTTAAATTCAATCCATATTTCATAAAAAATTAAAAAGTGCACTTATTTAGTGTATCCCAAACAACCCCTTAAATTTGATTGTTATTAGTTAAAATGGTACAATTGAATACTATTAGTCATCGTGTGAGATGAGGGTTAGTTTTTTGCCTTTTTAGATTTTTTTAGTTATTTTAGTCTGAGGTTAAAAAATTTCGTTTCTAATTTTTTAGTTTTTTTTTGACTTTTATGAAAGAAAAAATGAAATAATTATAATATAAATATGACATTTTGTGTTATTTAACTAAAATAACTAATTTTGTCATAAATAACTATTTTAGTCCAAATCAACCTGCCAAATATAGCCTTAAATTAACTTTTGAGAAACAACCAGACAAACATGACTACTCCAAATTTGTCAAATAACTTCTCCAACACCATGACGATTGACCATAATTGTCTTTTGAAAGTAGGGATGAGAATTTTTTCTCCAGCGATTTTGTTGATATGTTTCTTCTTTATTTTTCATTCATTGCCTAAACTCCCAATTCCACTCAGTTTCTGTTAAAGCAAAAAACTTACACATAATTTTCAACCAAAAAAAAAAACCAGCTACTTATTTGCATGTATTTTTTGACTTTTTATGAAATATGAGTTGAGTTTGCGTTAGATTTGAAGTAATAGATTAGAGAAATAATGTGACTTAAATAAGATGATATGACTTAAATAAAATAATAACTTTTTAATTTTTTTCAAACATATTAGCCCGTTGTAACTTCCTAAAAAAATACTCTAGAATGACCCATGTTTTGCTGGCATTTCTGAGATCCATACCGAACACGTGTAAGGCCTTCAGCCCTCTACGTTTACCGCGAGAATCACAAAGCCACCTCTCATGCTTGATCTTTGTGGGTGTTTGAATACGTGGATTTTTTATTCGTAGGATATTATCGATTTTTTTTTTTTTTATATTTATTTTTTTTTTTTTTTTATATTTAAGAAGATAGTTAAATTTTTTTGTAATTAGATGTGATATTTATGAGAAAAAAATAAGATAATTATGAAATTTGATGTGATATTTTATTTAATTTTTTTTTTAATTTTGTAAAAGATTTATCTTGTAGTGAAAAAAAACAAAAACAAAAAAAAAAAACCAAAATAAGTTCGCAAACACCCCTTACCTTATCATTCCAGCTTGCTCTTTACCTTATCAACAAAGAAAGAAAAGAACAACCCATTATTCATACATATACATATATCAAAGCCCACAAATCTCTCTCTCTCTCTCTCTCTCTCTAAAGGTGAAGCAGCAAAATGGAGAAGAAAGAGATGGAAGTGGTGAAGGGTGTAGACCTACAGAGGTACATGGGTAGGTGGTATGAGATAGCTTCATTCCCATCAAGTTTTCAACCAAAGAATGGAATCAATACAAGAGCTACTTATACATTGAATGAAGATGGCACTGTGAAAGTTCTAAATGAGACTTGGAATGATGGGAAGAGAGGGTCCATAGAAGGGACTGCCTACAAGGCTAACCCAAATAGTGATGAGGCGAAGCTCAAGGTCAAATTCTATGTCCCTCCATTCCTTCCCATCATCCCTGTTACTGGGAATTATTGGGTTTTGTATCTTGATGATGATTATCACCATGCTTTGATTGGTGAGCCCTCCAGGAAGTTTCTTTGGGTATGTCTCTAATTGTCTATCACTACATATACTTGTTTACTTTTGTATACACACACTTTATAAGTATATGCTTAGAATTGTTCATTTTATGTTTGGGCAAATTATATATACCTTATCTCTGGTGTCATTTATGTTTTTAATTTTCTCTATTTTAAGCTTGAATTTTTTATTTTGTCTCAAATTGATCTAATTAATTCCAATTGTTAACATTTTCTTATGGTAAATGCACAGATGAACAGTATGTGTTATTGGAGCAGAATTATAAACTTGTTCAATTTAGTGTCTTAGCCTCAAGTCAATAAACATTTTTTCATTAAAAACTCTTGAGGGCGTTATCAAATGGTCAAATTAATGTAAAATCTAAAATTAGGAATCAAAATTAATCAATTAAACTGTAGAAACTAAAATGCCACAAGCAGCTTTGGACTATCAGTGTGAGGGTTTTTTAGCCTGCTTGATGCTGAGGTATGAATCTTAGCTCATAACATGGCATTTTCTTCTTTTTATTCTGATTTGCTCAATTGTATTGCTTGTTTTTCTATCCTGGAAAAAAGGGAAGAACGAGTGGGAACAAAAGTTAGAAGTAACAGGAAAATTACTCTGAAAATTGTTTATACTTCATAAGAGGTCATTCAGTGGCAGATCTAGAAATTTTTTGGTCAGGTAAACGTTTAGTAACTTAAATTAGAATTTATATAAAGAAATCACACTTATCTGTACCTCATTTACATCTAATAAATCTATTAATTTAAACTTTTTACATCACAAACTAAAGGGAACTATATTATATATTGATACTATTGTTTCAGTTTAAAAATAAAATAAAATATGTTTAGTTTTACCATTGCTCTGGACCATCCATACTACTCATACCTAATTTTAGTGGAGCTAATGTAGCTGGAATTAGTGCCTAATTCAACCAAGCTATATTATACATAGTCTCGTTTCTTACCTTCTTTTCTTACGACACAAAGTGATGGGACCCACATTCATAAATGAATAAGGGACTCACCCACTTGTGTACGAGAAAATGAGGTAAGAAATAAGATTATATGTAATATTTTCCAATTCAACCGAAGCTATATATAATGTGAGGAATATCTTTTGGGTATTTCCTTTTTCTCCTTTTCATTTGAGAGTAATTTTTTTGGTCTTTTGTATGAAGGTATACCATTCTTACATACTAAGAAAAATATTTAGAAAAAGAAGCGTATGAACTAGATACATAAAGTTTTGCTGGTAAGGGATAGCAAGTTTATTTTAATTTTTTTTTTCTTGTTTATTGATGTATTGTTTAGTAATGCTATACAAATGAATCAACAAGTGAGGTTGATCAAAGTTTGGGTAATTAAAAAAAGGCTTTAATAGAACCCTGAACTATCACGGAAATGTAACTTAACCTGCTCAACGTCTAAACTATATATTGAAACCTCTCAACCTTAACTATAAAATATTGTACAAATGTGCCTTTTAGCGGGTGTAAGTAAATCAATTTTTATTTGTAGTTATACTCCAGAACGGCTATCTAGAAAGACATTGTATCTATGTATGTTTATCTATGGCTGTTTATTGTTTAGTAATTCTAACAAGCAACAAAATTTGTATACAGAATGAATCAAGAAGTGATGTTGTTGTGCAGAGTATCTTTAGTATTTTTCTTAGTTTTTATCTATTTTTTTTTGTTATCCAATACTTCAATTAATTTCTCTCTCTCTCTCTCTCTCTCTCTCTTTGGTTTTAGATATTATGCAGAGAGAACCATTTGGATGAAGAGATCTACAACCAGCTTGTTGAGAAGGCGAAAGAAGAGGGTTATGATGTGAGCAAGCTTCACAAGACACAACACACTAATCCTCCACCAGAGGAAGAAGGCCCCAAGGACACCAAGGGTATTTGGTGGATTAAATCCATTTTTGGAAAATAATTATTAGGCATTATGGCGACTATATAAAGGATAAAATCTATGAAGACATATAAATAAAGGGCTTAAAATCCTAGTTGTAAAACCAAGACTCAAGGTGTGTTTGTATTTGAATTGTCATTTTCCTTCTAGGTCTTGTAAAGTAGTAGTGTGTGCAAGTTTTGAAGCATGTTATGGATTGTTGTTAGCTTGCTTAGTTGTGAAGTTTCTTGTTTATTTCATGTGTCTTTGTAAAATGGATGTTTTTGAAACTTGGTTGTGAGAACTTGGGGGGTCTACCTCATCCTGTTGGCTTGTTTTTATGTTGGCTGTTGTTTTCTTGTACAATAATGTAGCACCAAAAACAAAAATAGACAGTATAGAAGCATCACCTTCACAAGAAAGTGGGTCCCTCCCACCCTCCAAAATAATAATAATAATAATAATAAAAATGGAAGGAAAAATATCTTGAATGTCAAGTAGGAGTTGAAGTTCCCCTTATCGTTGATGTTTCTCTCTTAAATTATTTTTGAATAAATTATGGATACATTCTTGTGTTTTAAAGTTTTTAATTTCATAACAAACCGTTCTTTTCATTAACAAATATATTTTAGTTAATAATATAAGTAATTTTATTATTTTAAAGGAGAATAATTAGAATTTATTTTTTTACTTAATTCTATTATTGATAAAAAAAAAAGAGTTAATTCTGTTAAATAATTTTTTTTGACAATTGGTATTTATAATTTTTCAAACTAGGATATTATCTAATTCTATTATCTATTTTTTTATTATTATAATCCATTCCAAATATTAAAATCAAGGGATTCAAAATCGCTTATCTATCTATTATCATTCGCACATTCTCATTTCTCTTCGAGATTTTTGTCATCCCAAATTCAGTGTAATAACATTATTCTCATTCTTCTTCAAGATTTCCGTCATCCAAATTCAGTGCAAGAGCATTATTCAATAATTACAAAAGAGAAACAGGTCTAATCTAAATAGGTCCAATCTTGTTTTTCACTAGAGGACTAAAGTGAGTTGAGTCGGTTTTATCCCACTTCGTAACTATTATTTTTACTGGTTCAATTATATCGCAACTATTGTATTTTTTTGATAATATCATGTGTCATGAATTGATATTTTGGTACTCTATGTTGAACAGGGATTGGAGAAAATGACTGCCTTCTTCATCAAATCCTGTTATTCTATCGACTCCACCCAGGTTGAAAATCAAAAGAATTAACGTATGGAGTTAAATTTTGATAACTTCTACAGAAACCAGAATCGATAACATGAATAGGATATACCACGTTAACAACCCGAGAACTGCAAGAATTGGTTTAGCGAGCTACGTACAGATAACATGGATAACATGGACAAGTAACAAGTAACTAACACATGCAATCATCTGCAACAGAATATAAGCTGAATAGACAGAATTGGGTAATCTGGAGTGTTCCATAACTGTTTAGAACAAGAGTTTGTATCCATAGGTACATAACTAGAACTACCTCAAAAGAGGATCTTCTCCCAACTCAACAGAAGCACGACAACGATTTCAAAGCACGTGCAAGTATAATGGACAAAATACGCAACACCAGAAGAAAATCAAGCGAGCTCTCATGAAGGATGACGATATATATACTGATATTATGATTAGAAAAGCATTGGTAAAATGATTCGGGCTCACTTCCATTTTTCAATATCAGAATCAGGATACAAGAGGGGAAAAATCCATAAAAATTCTGCCAAGCGAACAAATTAATAAATGATTTAAACAACAATCACCATTTCGTGATCCGACAAAATTTTAACAACAGAACAAGCAAATGCCACAATGCAATAGTCTCTTCCCTTCAGAAGTTCACAATATTGTACAGCATTGATTGGTTTTCTTCGCCTGTTTGTAGAACATCTGTTTAAACAAAGCACCACCAGCAGGAACTTGAGTTAGATATACAAGAATGCATTCCATGGTTTGACATTAATGTTGTGTTTGGTTGGAGGATTTGGGGAGGGATTTGGAAAGGGAAAGGGAAAAGGTGTGTGAAACTATGTGAAATTTAAGCATATTTTATTCTCATTTCACTTACTTTTTCCATTTCTCTTTCCAAATCCCTGCTCAAATCCCTCAACCAAACACAGCATAAAAGAATGGTAAAGCGGAACTTCTAATATGAAATCTAATATTTAGAAGGCAAGTATAAAATAATCCCTCACAAATCTCACCATAATAAATCAAATAATGATCTTTTCTTCCCTCACAAATCTCACCATAATAATCCCTCACAAATCTCACCATCATTAAATTTTGATTCATGATCTTTTCTTCCCAAAACAAAAACAAGAAATCACAAATCTCATTGCCAAAAATGTTCAAACTCCTTTAAGTCATTCCTGTTTCTTTGCTTTCTTTCTTTCTTTTTTTTTTTTTTGGAAAAAAGAAAAAAGAAAAGAAAAGAAAAGAAAAGAAAAGAAAAAGAGAGAGAGAGCGAGAGAGAGAGAAATTCTTTCATAATGGTACCGAACAACAATTAGTTGATAGATTCTAGATGCATTGCAAGCTTTTAAGGTTGGGCATGATTGTTGACAACTAAAATGGGAACAGGCTTGGGGATTCATATCAAGCTAAGAGTTCATTTGGGGATAGATAGTACAACCTCTCTGTTTGCATTGGGAAAAGATAGGGCTCATAGGTCATCAGATATGAAGTATTCTAGCATAATTCCTACCAGACTGGAAGTTCATAAATAGATGTCTCTCTGCTTTTACTTATCACATTTTTATACCATAAAATCAATGCGATGCATACAGCCAGTCCAGTTTGGCTAGGCGGTTGGGTAACTCTGGGCATGAGGCAGAAGACCTGAAAGGTACAGGTGTTGAAGAACCTCTGGTTTGCACACCAGTGGCTATGATTGTTCCTCATGGGGCCTCGGTAGAACCTGAAGGGGGTGGACAAAATTGGGTATGATGAATCAGAGGTGTCTAACTGGGTATTGAAGAGGCTGAAGGAAGTTCGTAAATTTCAGGACTGTCTTTTGAAGGCTTTGGAAAGGAAGTGACACAGCTGTTTGCGGCTATTTAAGCACAGTGGTGAAACTCCGAGCAGGGTTCCAGCTGGAGTGGGGGGAGAAGAGGAGTAGGTTGGGAGGGAGTTGAAGAATTCATGTGGTGTTTTAATTGTATGATGGGAGGAGCAAAGATGTGAATGGAGTGGAAGGAGGAAGGGGAAGGGAATTTAATGCATTTCATTATGAAGTAAAAGATTGTTTGATGGAAAATTTGGGATTTGAATCCCATTGATAAACATGTGGAAATAGAAGCTTTTCTTAAAGAGTGTCAAGCGATGTGGTGTGTAGTTAGGGAACAAAAATGATAAAATTAAACGTTGAGGTGGTTCACTGTTTTTTTTGGTGGTGGAGTAGGCTTATCTGGTGGGCTTTCAGAAATGCAAGGGGTGTCTGGGTCACAGAGCATTGTGATAGAAGAGACATGTGGGATGAATTGGCAGCGGTTGCACTTACATGGGAGGCCCCTTGGTACTTGGGGGAGATTATAATATTGTCCCATTAAAAAACCTCCTCTGCCACCTCTAGTGCTCTCCCGTCGTCTTAGTACCCGCCATCTTCGAAGAGGTCCCACCAAGAATCCTCACCACTATCCACAGAATACATACGAGATAAGCTTCTATGCTGAAAATCATTTAGCCCAAAGTTTTTAAAGGCAAATGCATAACACGAGGCATTTTACTCCTCATGAGGCAAGGCAAAAGCATTTCAAATTTCAAATTTTTATATTTAGTAAACAAATTAAATATTTCAAACAGTAAAAAAACAAAAAAATCAAAATTAAATATTCTTCTCCTCAAGGAGTCAAACATTTCACTGAAGAGGACACTTGCAAGTGCAATTGATATCCTTAGCTTCAATTATTGAGCTTCTCACTTGAACCTTAACTATGTGTTTTTCCTTGATTGGTTGGTTGCTTGATTTTTCCTATGGAATATAGTTGCAAAATAAGGGTTTTTTTATTTTATTTTATTTTTTATTTATGTTTAAACCACAACTCTGCCGGGGCTATTTAACAACTCTGCTGGGGCTATTTAACAACTCCGCTGGTCCCAGGCTCAGGTAAAGGAGGAGTGTTGTGTGTTAGATAGACGACAGTCAACACGTAAAAAAAACGCTCGGATCCCGTATGAAATGAATCCTACTTTGAATCTTGATAGAGCCGAGAGAAGAATAATGATTCATATAGCCGACCCTATTTAATGGGACGTAAGGCTTGGCTTGGCTTGGCTTGGCTTGGTTTATGTTTAAACCATCCACTAGACCAAGTTTAACAAGACCCAAGACAAGCTCTTCATATGTGTACTTCTCATACGTTTATGCACAAAACCGTACAAGGTGCACGCCTCAAACTGTGATGCACACATCTTTGGGAAGTATCACCTAAAAATCTAAGTCTCAATGTGTATTGCCTTAGCCTCACCCCACGGCAAGAATCAGGGTGAACCTCATAAAGCATTTTAAAACTTTGATTTAGCCAAAGGATCCTTTTGAGTGTGCTGAAAAAGACACCAATTCTATTGGCAGCAAGTCAGATTACCAAATAACAAAGCACCTAGACGACTCAACCAAAATTACGGTCAAATATACAAGTTTTACAGTGCCAAAAAAGACGGAATAAAACAAAAATCCTAAAACAATAACTTTGAGACTGAAAGCGATGTCTTCTCCAAAGCTGGTTTGCATCATAAATTAACTAAAATGTTGCCGATCCAACATTTTATGCTTCCAAGTGGGCGCTCCTAAATGTTTTTTATGCCTCAAAATATTTACACAGAAAAATATGCACATATCCACAGGACCAAAGGCATGCCATTTGTCCTGTTGTACAACTATGCAATCACCCAAATTGTAACTGTAACAGCACTACAAACAAGTTACAGATACACTAACAATGCCACACATGTTGATAATTGTATACCTAATAGCCAAGACTGTTGTGGCAATCTGTGGGCTGGGCTCAACAAATTTATACCTTGACCTTTCACATATAATTGTGCAAATAACCAGAAAGACAGCATACACATCTTGAGATTGAATATTTGTGTGAACACAAAGGCAATGAGATTGTGAATATATGCGGTATGTGTGTCGGCCATTTCACAATGGGAAACATACATAAATTATACAAATTACCTGTGAAGCTGCACTGAGATCTGAGCTCTTCTCAACTAAACTATCCAGCTTCTCACCTCGTGCAAGGACACTATCGATGGTCTTATGCTGTACCAAAGAAAGATCCAAAAGTCAACATAAAGAACCAGAGTGGAAAAGAATATAGGACTAGTTCAATAGACATGCACCTTGTAATCGTTAATATAAGACAATGGCAAGTATCTTTACAATCTATTTAAACCTCTAATACCATCTCAAGCAAAAGAATTCATTCATCACCTCATTCAGTTACATCTAATCTAACTACACAACATCATCCCAACACATGTAACACTGAATAATGCAATGAATACAAAGATCACAAGCATTTATCATTTGTGAGGGTATCAGCTGCTATCAAACTTCTTAATTCCAATCTCAACAAAATCTCGCTTTTCAACTTATAATAATTTTAAAATGAAATTATCCACATGTAACATAAACAAGAATAAGAAAGAACTAAAAGAAACAAAAACAAAGATTGTGTAAAGATCATTCATCTAATGCAGCAATAACTTGAAACTCACAAGAATAATTTTTGTTTCATCCAATTCCCTCTGAATTTTCAACAACTTATCAGCTTCAGCAGGGTCCTGAAGAATTGGAAGGAAGACAGAAGAAACAATTGCTTCAGTTCATCTTCAGTGTAAGATCAACAAACTAAACTGTGAAAGTTTTATGATGAAAACATGACTAGTGGGAGGAGGGGGGAGGAATTGATAGGTACCTGAAATTTAGTGAGTGCTTCATTCAAATAGGGCCACGGTTGAACGTTATCTGCTTGCATAGTTCTCCATGAATCACCAAAATTCTTCTCATAATCATCTAGCACCTGAAAAAGAGTTTAACATATCATCAACCCATTAAATCAACTTTCCTGATAATGTCTGTGCTAAACTTCAATACACTAATTTCAAGAATCTTGAAACTTACCATGTTGCAGTATTAAAACTAAAAATGCTTGTGTATGATTCAGTAAGGCACTAACTTAGAGGACATTCAACGAAGTCACTCACAATACATAAAAAATTAAAAATATCTTCATAAAAATATCATGAGTTAGGAAACAATTATGTTAGATTAGCACTAGTCACAAAAGCTTAAGCTGTTAGGAAACGACTGAAAAATGCATATCAAGCTCTCCAACATGCTCCCTCACGTGCAATCCCATCTTGCACGTGGAGATGCAAATATTCAAACATGTAGAGAAACATAATGCAAATGAAGAAACAAGTACAAACAAAGAGACTTGAACCCAAGACCTCTTTTAACCTCAGTTCTAATGTCATGATAGATCACCACTAGTCCTTAAGGCTTAAGCTGTTAGAAAATGGCCAAAGAATGCATGCCAAGCTCTCCAACAAATTCTATATGACTACTTATGGAGGACACAAAGCTCTCATCCTATAGGTTGGGGGGGGGGGTGGACCACTCTTCTATGATTTACAACAACAACAACAACAACGCCCAATTAGTACACATTAATGTGTGTTTGGGAGGGGAAAGATTGAGTATACACCTAACCTTTAGCATAATGCACAAAGTGGTGGTTTCAAGACTTGAACCCATAACCTCATTATATGATATTTATGATTGGTTCCTTTGCTTAGAGATAATTATTGAGGAATTAATGAAAGCAAATAAGATCTTGCCATGTACCCGGTGATATAAAATGGTGACAAAAACCAAGTGGATATATAGCAACCCTCTTACAATAGTATTGATAGATAAATAAATAAACAGTACTTGTCTATTATAAATCAACAAAAACCAAATCTCAAACACAGTTTTCCCAATCATAGACAAATCCAAACCAAAATAGATCTATCACCTAAAACTAGAGACAACAGTTTTTTCTTTAATGTATGCCTATGAAGCACCAACACTTCAAAACAAGTGCAGTATCCGTGTCGGACACACGGACACTTCGGGGACACGCGGACACGTATGGAACACACCACATGGCGTGTCCTCTTATTTATTAATTTATTTTTAGGAGACACACTAGGGACTCTTTAGGGACACACTAGGGACATGAGAAGTTGTCTTTTCTCCCATTTTATTTAGTGCTTTTGATGAATGTTTATTATTTTGTTCTTAGATTTAAATACTTAATAGATCATCCATAAAAAAAATATATAAATAAAATGTAAGTGTTAATTTAAAAGTGTTTTTTTTTTTAAATATATATATATAATTAGAGTAAGCTTTTGTTAATATTGATTATTTGTGGATGTAATATTAATCTAGATAGTAAATGAAAATATATTTTATTACCGTGTCCCCCTGTGTCCACATTCGTGTATGTGTGCGCATCTGTATCCATGTCCGTGCTTCTTAGATGTATATTTAATATAGTCAATAACGTATGCTCAAGCTATGTTAATCTTGGCAAACAAAGCCTTCACCAACAAATGTAATACTTGATAATGCCTCCACCAACAAATTAAATCAAGTAGATCTAAATCAATATCATGCTCTCAAATAAAGCCAAAAAAATCTAAAACAAATGAAATTACAAATTTGAATTTTAGGGAGAGAAAGTTGAAACTTACAAAATTGTATTTAGGAAAGTATATCTTAAGTTAGAAGGAAAGTTTAGAACGTTTGGAGCTAAAAATAACCATAAAAAATGAAAAATAAATAAATAAACATAAAAAAAGGCATTCAAAATTTCAAAGCATCAATTAACCATTACGGCACCATAACAAGCCATTACGACCATTCCAGTACTGTAACAGCCACTACGCGCATGACCTTCAGTCTAGTTAAGGTGGCCTGTAGCAGGATTGGCCTACCAAATCCATTATATTAATGCCCATTGTTTTTAGAACACTAGAAGGAACAAAGCACGAACCAAGGGATAAATTGGAATTCTAAACCACAACTTGAAAGCCCAACCAATGTGATTAGGGGTTGGTACAAGCAATAAGTTGGCCATGAATCATGATCAATGTGATTTTTTCCTTTTTTCTATTCCTTGCCTTCTGGCCATCAATTGTCATATGAGCTACAAATGAAAGTAAAAGGAACCTTAAACAAGACCAAATGAAAAAGAAAATTTTTACTAAATATGATCAAAATAGCCTAATACGACTTAATTTTAATAGCTATATTAGGCAACAAAATAGTTTATGAAAAACAACTTTTCAAGTTTTAAGTGAGCTAAAATAGACACTTATTTTCAATTAAACAAACTGACAATGAGCTAAAATAGACACTTAATTTGCAATTAAACAAGCTGACATGAATCTTTCAATTCAATTTAAAATATGCATAAAATAAAGCAAGCACACAACTACGAGAGAGACAAGTTTTAACATGAAAAACCCAAGCCTATCAAACCCACTAAAAAAGATCAAGTAACACTCAACGCAAATATCATACCCACTCAAGTCACATAAACATCCCAGTAGTCCAATCTTCAACCTGTGTCTACCAATCTTTAAGCTTACTTCCCAATCTTTAAGAGCAACCACAAACGTGATCTAAATCTATGTGAATGCAAACCTAATATTCCAAAGCTCAGTGATAATAGTGGTCAACCTAATACAATGAAAACTAGGTCTCAATATATACACAAGGAAGGGAAGGAGTTTCGGCTGGTGGGCACGGGCTGGGAAGGAGTTTCGACTAGTGAGCAGGGGCTGGAAAGGAGTTTCGACTGGCTAGGAGAGGAGGAGAGAGGCTGTCACCTGGTGGATGGTGGCTGGAAAGGGGTTTCGGTGGTTAAGAGAGAGAGGAAAAGAGGGTGGCTAGAGTTTGTTAGGCTCTGATACCAAGAAGAATAAAAGAATGAATTGGCTTAATTTCAATTGAGGTCAGCCCATGAATATATAGATCAATATGTACAATATTAGGAAACTGTACAAGATAGGAAATAACATAGAAAAGGAAATAAAATCAAGGCCAAAACAATGGCCATAACAAAAAAGGGTCCTATTCTAGAATATTCTGTGTACTTTATTTCAACAAAATCTTCAACTACTTTTGATACTTATGGAATCAAAACTAAAACATAAAAAGCACAAACTCAATGGAATGAAGTTGCCAACACTAAAAAAATGACCAATAGATTCAACTCATTTTTCTGTAACAATATATGGTATACCTTCGGTCTCTCTTTCAATATGTCAACATATTCAATTGTCAACTAACCTTTTAGCCATCCTCAAGAATCAAGAAGTCTTTAAAAGAAAGTTCCATACACAATTCTCACTACAACTACATAACATAGAGTATACGACAATAAATATTTAGGGCATATTTGGTGTCGCTGTTTTCTTTGTTTTCCAGAAATAAAAGTACTGAGAAGTTCAGAAACACCCATACTTTTCATATCATATCATTTCATTTATATATATATATATATATTTTTTTTGTGAAAACAATTTTTTGGTGTTTTCTAAAAAGTGGATAGTTTAAAACAAAAAAATTCCCAAAACAATTTTTGAAAACAATTCACCAAACAAGTTTACGTGTTTTCAAAAACAAAAATGATACCAAATAGGCTTATGATCTAAGAAATAAGTTTCTCACCACAATTTAATAAAAGTAGACTATGCAGTAAACATTTATGAAAGAGATAACTACCTCTAAGCTAGTATTAGCAATTCTAGATATTAAAGATGGAATTGTTGTAAGTCATATTAGCGCACCTGAGCACAAAATCTTTGAGGGTACTACAGAGACCAAGCATTTGTACACAAAGTTTATAGTTGAGTGCCAATAATACGCTTCCAAGAAGTATGTGGTTTCCTATGCAACAATTTACCTTGCCGAAAGGAATATAAACATGTTTCTGATATAATGCCCTAGAAATAAAACTGCATAAGAAGTTCACTGAACTATTCTTTGAAATGCACGAATTCAATTTTGGAACCTTCAATTAATAGCATCGAACAATTTTCATAGAATGAAGTGAGCATACTCACTGATGGAATTATGCTGATGGAATCAATAATTCCACTTTATATTTATTATTATAAAAAAGGTCGTACTCTGAGAGAGGTAGCAGGTAGACATCTCTAACCCCACCTTTTTTTATGGGGAGGTTGATTCCCATGACTCAAACCCATGCCACAAGACTAGGGGCAGAAACATACAAAAATATGATGGTGCCCATAAAAAATTATACATACATTCCCATGACATCTTATATATGATTATATATACAAGAATCATACACTTTACCATGCCCAGGAAGTAAGGAACCAAATTATTTCAGGTTAAATAATACACATACCTATAGACCTGCACTAAGTATCTGCAAAAGATACAAGTGCTCCCAACAAATAAAGCAATAAAAGTAGGACTACCTTGTTAAGAAGAGAAAATGCACTTCGGACTGGGTAGTGATCATCCATGAAGCCCACTGTACAAAGGCCATTTCTGTTGTACGAATGTACTTTGTATTCTGTAACCCAGAAAATAAAAGAGTTCTAATTTAACCAATCCAAAATGCAAATTGAAATATCGGCAAAATGAGTGGAACAAAATTCTGAGCATGAGTTTCACTAATCTGCTTTTGAAAAACAAGTACTACCTTATTAAATAGTTGGAAAGTACAACACTTCAAAGCCTTAGTTTACAAATTACTCAAGAAATCTTACCAGCATATTGTCTCCTGATAGTTAAGCTTATATATTAATGCTATTCCCAAAAAGCAGCCAAAAGAGTGACTCAATCACTCTTGGAATTTTTGAAATCACACTAGCTAAGCTTGAAGAACCCATACTTACATGACACGAAACAAATCTCTTCTCTCTTATCACACTGTAAGAACCAAATGTCTCTGTAGCTCACCAATCAGAATTTACAGGTGATTGGGAGCTACAATCAAATCCAAAATTTCCATTAACAAGTAATTTTCATATATATATATATATATATACATATATATTTTATAGACTTCACACCATTTCAATTTATATTAAAATCTTTACTAAAACGAACCATTAGCCAAACAACACAACATCCAAAAGTTTCTCTTCCTAGTTTGTGCAAAGTCTCCTAATTCAAATCAGGCTCTTCCAAAGTCCAAACCAAAATTTTACCCAATTCGACATGGGTTCAATATTCACTGGAAAAGCCAATGTCCCAATTTTTTCAACAAAATAGTACTCACTTTTGTAAGTTCAGAACCTAATTTCCTAACAAAACAATTTCTCAGGGCCAGATCAAGCTTCAAAGCCCAAATCAAATACAACCAAATGACCAACAATTGCTAAGAACTCAAATACAAAACAAATAGTTCCTGCAATTTCCTCACCAAAATACTAAATTTTGTAAATTCACAGCCCAACTTCCTAACAAATTTTTTATTTTTCAGGGGGCGGGGGGCTTCAAAATCCAAACCAAATCCCCAATTCACCAACTTAGCAAAATTACACAGCAAAACTGTAATACAAAACCAGAACTTCAACCCATTTCTTAACCAAAATAGTACTAAAATTCGTGAATTCAGAGCCTAATTTCTCAAAAAAAAGAATTTCCCAAAATGGATCAAGCTTCGAACCCCAAACCCAAACCCAAATCGAAACTCCCCCTAAATTACCGAAATTACACGAGTTCATCCGACAATTTCAACAATAAGCAATGATACAAAACAACATTCACCTAATCGATCGCTCATTATTAATTAATTCAGGAAAATAAAAGCCAAACAATCAATTCAAAATGTTCAAATGCCGAAAATTGAAGACTGTGAGATCCACAACAACCGAGATTCGATTTGTGAGAGAGAAATGGGACCTTCGTGTTGAACAGATTGACGTTGGCCGGGTGGGGTCCGTTTTCCGACGGTCCGACCCACGAAGACGATGAATTCCCTGACGCTCGGCCTCTGGAAGTACCCAAAACGGGTCACGTCCGACGCGTTTGCCAGTATCGTCGGATCAGATCCTTCCGGGTTGCATTTCAACACCAACAACGCCGTGATCTTCATCTCTCTCCTCTCTCTATTTTCTCTCTCTAAAAATGGAAAACTGGTTTCGACGATTTCTACTATCTCCAATAGCAAAAACGAAGAGGCATTAGCCGTTAGCGGTTGAGATGCTTTCTCGTGTGATGGGAGGTGTCTTTCCACCGTTACAATCGGCCAGGTGTCACACGTAGGATGTGCCACTTTAGCAGCCCGGGTATGTGCAGGACGTAATACAAAAGCAGCAATGGTAGAGTTATCAAATAATTTACCGAACACTCGTATGGATATAGATGTAGAGCAATGATAAAGAGTATTAGAGTTAGAGTTTTAATATCAACTTTAGTAATATGGTAATATATAAAACGAAAAATATAACATTATAAGTCCAAACATTAAATCATAAGGTTAGGCCTACCTCTAGAGTTCCTCATTTAGTGATCTCAAATATTTTTGTATGGATTTATGTGAGTGTTTGGTAATATTTTTGATAAATTTGTTGATGTCTCTACTATTTTTTAATACAATTTGATTGAGAGAAAGATTATTATATACACATTTCAAATTGTGTGTATCATATTGTTGGCCTTTTGGCTTTCGAAGGTTATTTTTGTAATTATGAGCGTGTCAGCAAGAATCAATCAGTCCTTACAGAATTTTGATTGCCAACCAATTATCAAACGATTGTGTTGTAATTCTTTCAGCCTCAATGAAGAGGACTTTTACTGGTGGCTTGATTTAGGAGGATTTAAGCACAATAACAGTTAAATAAAGAACAATTGAAGCATTTCATTAGTATGAAAAACTTACAATGATCCAAACTCAGCCTCGTAGAGGTTTACAGCGACAATCTACTTGAAACTACTCTTATGAATGAAGTGTAGTGCAGGAATTTAAAATACAGGAATGTAAAGAACAGGAAATATAAAAACTGGAACGAAATATGTAAAGTAAGACTGGTTTCTTGGATCTGAGTCTGGGGGCTTTTTTCTGGAGTCTTCCCTGCTATTTATACTCTTCAAAGATGACCATCGAACTGCACTTCAAACTGTAGAACTGCTCCTCCGTGATCACTGATCATGATGCCTTACAAGTAGTTCCACTACGCCATCACTCGCAGTTAAGCTTCCCTCCTATATTTGAATTTGAATGTGAGTAACTGCTAAAGTCACGTCACCTTGCATCTCTTTGCTGATCCAATGTTACTCAGACCACGCAATAGACAATATTAACTGTCATGTGTACGATCAGGATCGAAGACTTGAACAATCTTCCTATATTTCCCTTACTCTGCCACGCGTCGAACTGTAATTGGTCTTTTACAAAATATGTAGCCAACATTACCCCCCGCACTAATATACCCAATACTTGGTGATATTAGTGGATCAAAGCCTTTCTCCTGCGCTTCTTAGAACGTGCATGGGGTCTAGATTTTGGAAACACAACCGTCACTTATTGATGATCATTTGCATTAATTCTCTTTCAATCTTTTGAATACCCCAATACCTTAGCACTTGTACAGGCTGATACTTCTTCTATAGCCGAATCAATTTTCCTCTCTATTGATCGGGCACATGAAGAGTCATTGAATAATGCTGCTTCCCCTCGAAAGAACCTCCACGCATTCATTAGTCACCTTTATCCACCCTTCTATATTCAAGTTATGGAAGCCTTTGCAAATTACCAGCCTTTGGATTACGAACATATTGCCCTTAATCCTTCGATTAAGAAAGTTACAGATATAGACACAAGAAGTTCTCCCTCTAACTCACCCTTACAGTTCGAGCAAACTGCTTTCAAACCTTTGATTCGGAAAGTTGCAAATATGGACTTGGAAAGCTCTTCTTCACAAACCTCCGTATGGGATAAGGCGGCAACGTCTTCCTCTTCTCGGGGTTCTAACTGGACAAGCTGGTCAACACCTGAGACTTGTGATTTGAGGGAGCGAATTAACCATCATTTTGTTGAGTTCACTGACCCTTTAGAGTTTCCTTCCTATGCTCGAAGTTCAATTGTCTACCCCTACGTGCCTATTGACCATCGACGTAGTTTGGAGGAGAATCTGCTTGTAGCATAGTACACATCCTCCATGCCTACAAAGATAGTGCACGCTGCCCGACGCCTAGAAGAAGCATAAGGGTACAACCCATCATTCTTAGCCCAGAAGACGAAGATTTGTTCCTCTGACTGGCTTGATTATATTAATGCCTTTGTTCCTTCTGCTCCCGCGCCATCTCCCATAATAGAAGCATCCACACCTTCTTCTCCATCTCCTGAAATTGAAGCATTCACACCTTCTCCTCTACCAACTCTTTGCTGGACAGAGAGACTGAAGCTTGCCCTATCCATGAAAAACGTCTTCCCACCTTATAAACCTCTACCTTCTCCTACTCCAGCTGAGGCGGAAAACAAGCTCAACTTGATAGATAATGCAAGCTTTCTCTCCACTTACCCTTCAAAACGTTCTCCAGGACGAAGTCCCTCTCAAGACACTTCGATGGCTTGTGAATCTGACTAAGGGCCATTGTCTTAATCCCTTGCTTCAAGCAGAACTTCAATATGTTCCTGGACAACTTCCATCTGCTCCTCTACTGGCACGAAATTCTTATGGCCACTTACACAATCTTTAAGACCAACTTTCGTCTCTTCGAGTTCATGCCCAGTACGAAGCAGAGAACTTCATTGAAGAATTCGGTGATTTTCAAGATAAAGATTCTGCGTATCTGGGATGGACCATGGACCATAGATGAATTGGAAAAGGATTGAGAAGAGGCGGCTTTCGAAATAAAGGCTGAAGAGCTCTACTACGAAGTGAGAACACATCAACTTATGCAGCCAATGCTAGAAGACATAGAAGATAGAATAAAGAAAGAACAAAAATTCATTGATCATTGTTGGACTAAATTTCATGATCTTGTTATTTATTCCATTCCTTATTTTTATGAGCTTGAGTTTATACCCAGATAGGGTCATCCGATGTAATTACTTTGGCTTTAATATAAACAAAATCCTTCTTCGTTTGGCATTGTTTGACGCTGCTTCTATTTGTCTTTAAAAGCCAATTCAGAGCTTCGAACTGAACAATCTCATCCTTCGAACCTGGACTCAATTGTTTTAAATGAAACACTAAAAGAACCAATTATGAACTTTTCCAATTTATGGAATAAAGTTGACAGTTTTGGCTGATTTTCAATTAGAACCAGCGCATCGGATCTAGCAATCTTATACTTAAAGTTTGTTTCAACCATAACCAACACATGATCATGGTTATTATGATCAATTAGTTTTAAATTGACCACCTTTTGCTTCGAACAACAGTTCATGCTGTTTTAGTTCAACAGACAGCCCCTCCTTTTTTCTCTATATAAACCAACCATTCGTTTTGATGTTTCAAACACCAAATCTCATTCTTAAAGAATCTCAAGTTTTACCTCGAAGGACATTACTTTCGTTAAGAAACCCTAAAACAAGTCTTTAAACTCTTTGGAGTAAAACAAACACACGAGTATTCTTATTTTTTAGGTATGGAAATGTGCTTCGAAGCCGGCTTCTCTGTTTCGAAGCCGTTGTTTTTTTTTGGCTTTTGGCGTTAAAACTTGGCTTCGAAACCAAATATCTTACTTCGAAGCTAGCCTCAGCATCTGGGCTGTGTTTTCCCTCCAAAAGTATCAATATTGAAGGAAGCTCTTCGTATTCGTACTTCTAGTACTTAACGACTTACGCAATATATTTTTCAGACACAAAAAGCTTTAAAAACCCTTTTGTTTCGTGCTCTGAAATCACTTGCTCTTTTAACGCACAAACCCTTCTTTCTACCGATCTTCTGCTTCTCTCTACTTCCTTTCTCAGCTTCACTTTCTGGAAAAGCGTACTATCAATGGCTTCATCTTTAGTGCCAGTCGTAGAGCGTGCGAGCCCATCTGTAACCCTGAAGAGAATCATTGATGCAGAATGTGAGAAGTACAAAGCTGGGGAGAAAAGCGCTATTGATGGACGCATCTTCGTCCCTCGTCACCATATGCAACAAGACTACGTGCTTGGGCCCATATTCAAAGAGATCCTTACTGAACTCCCAGCCCTATATCCTCGTCTGGAAAACCAATGTCTCCTTTACGAAGGTGGTCTTGACTGGAGGAACTGGAGGATAAATCGCCCCCACTAATGTTGGCCCACGGTAAGACCGGAGTGGCAAGAATGGTATGACCGGGTTGTTCCTGCTAGAACTCTGGACCTTCAAGAACTCTGCCTTCTCGATGCTCTCCGACTATCTAGGGTAACTATCCCAGAGGACCCTTTCCTTATTTCTGCTGCCTTGTGTTTTTGGAATCCTATCTTTAATTTCTTTCAATTTAGATGCGGGATGATGGCCCCTACTGTTCTTGACATTTGCGATCTACTAGGATTATCCCCCATTGGTACCCCATTTGGACCAGATTACCCTGACTCAGCAGTCCCTTTCTCTCTCCCCTCTCTTAACTCATCCTATAGTGATTTTGCTAAGGCTGAAAATAGAAGAGAGGGCCCTGTGACTGATAGGGAATTCTTTTCTTTCTTATTGTATTGGTTTTGCAAATTCCTCTTCTGCACCTTCTCTCAGAGAATCATGCCTGAATTTGCCTCTCTTGCTAAAGCCTTTGTTTTACAGAAAAAGGTGGCCTTAGCCCCACATGTTCTAGGTCACGTATATAGAGTCTGCTCCCTTTTCTGTGAGAACCCTTAGATGCTAATCAAGGGGGGCCGTTCTGGATCCTTCAATTTTGGCTTTTTGCCTATTTCACAGAGTTACAATCCAAATGCCTTAAATTTTCTGAGCCAAACCCTCTTACTCATGGCATAAGGCTGGCCAATGCTTCAATTTATCCTTCTACCTTTGCCTTTTACTTCTCTTTCTTCCACCAACTTCCAGCTTCCCTTCCTTCTTACCGTTTTCGACCCTTCGAACCCACTATTGGTCCATCTTGGTTGCAGAATTTCCTAAGTGATAGGTCCTGTGCTTCACCTATTCACAAAGAGATATGGGCCTCCATTCTAAACCCTAGAGAGTTATTTATTGGGACTTTGAACCCCAAGGCCTACAAATGCATCGCTGAGCGCTACTGT